TTAATTGGCCTTGTTTTATAAACAGATTTAGGAAAAGGAGTGAAACATTAATGCTATTCTAACCGTTAATTGATTAAAAATTCCCTTTTTCGAAGACATTTTGAATTTTCCTTGAAGAAAATAGCAGATTCCTCTTTTATCATGATACTGAAAAGCACTAAAATTTGTTATTTTATTCAGAGAAATGTGACACTTGTAATCTTTATAACTACTCAACTGGTCTCACTGTAAAAGAAAAAAATTACAGCGTGTGACTTTCCGATGCTTGGCGCGGCCGCATCCTTCTTAAGTCCCACGGAATATTTCATCGTCACCTTTTTAAATTCATTGCTTCGAAATACAGTCGGTTCTCCAGTCGTCATTTATTTTCGAAACACAGAAATATCTACATTAAAGACTGGAGAGTAATTCTTACTTCTTGTAAATTACCATTTCTTGAGTGAACGGTTTAAAGAGGGTCTTGTATGAAAGAGGCCTGATTAAGCCTATCGTTCGTTATGATTCATTACTCTTTTGTCATCGTAGACAGTCCCCTGGCATCTTGCTATCTTTTCGAGGGCCCGCTCTGCTGAACTCGTTGCGGGCGCTAGATAGCGAGTCCCTCAGCTGTGTTGCACGGCGAGCTGCATTGTTAAGGGATTAATCCATCAATGGTTAACTTAAGTTGCTCTTTTACGCTGTCGTCTCGCTAATATTTTCCTCCTACCTATTCTGATCCCTTATTTTTTATACACATACTAAATTTCCAGCCGGTAAAAGCGTATGCTAAGCTTTTCCATTTATTTTTTCCCCTTAGAGGATGGTTTGGAAACTGCTTTGATAAGAACTACCTAATGTTCTTCCATCAGTGTGATGATGTGTAGAAATTCAAGAACTCCTCCTGGATTATAAATATTATGCTTAAGATTCCTCACGAGCACCACACGAACCGATATCTATTTACGCGTAACTTTTTCGATTATCTCCTCGAGCTCCAATTCCTGCTGCAATTTTCTAAACTTCGTCGTCTTGCTTTTTAAATAGTGTGATCGAAGGTCATAATGATACTTATGCCGTTAAATTTAGTTTAGCCTTTCCTTAGGAGGTTCATGCCAACTTATGAATTTTTTTCACTAGAACTCTCTGAAATTTGAGTTTTCAAGGATAATATTTTCTGAAACAATAATATAAAGTAAAAGTGAATATGAATTTTAATAGACTAATGTTATTCGATTATAAATGAAACAATAAAAATGCTATTAATTACGTACAGCTGCAGAATGCAAAATAGTTATATACTGATAATTGTATAAAATGAATCAGTTTTTACTTTTCATTTAAAAAAAACTGCTCAACAATTATTCTTCTTTCTACCAAGTGAAACGTTCACCGTTGCTAATACTCGCCTAATTTCATTTTTTTTTAAATTCAGAGAAAGGGCTTCTTAAAATTTTCAAGTCAGGTATTCACTTAATATCAGTTTCATAATAATTCATATGACTAATAGTGGACTTTGTAGATCTGGTTGTTTATATAAAAAGTAACTTGAGAAATAAAGTGCCAGCAAAATGTTAGTTTTCAAAGTCGTGTTAAATTAGTAAACTTAATATTTTATTGGCAGTAATTAAATTAAATTATCAATATATATTAATTAAATTATCGGCAGTAATCAACTCCCAAAAGCTGAACTACTAAATAAACTAAAATCCCTTCTTATTTCAACAGTTTTTTCCACCAAAGAAATACACGTAAATATAATGAAAATAAACATATGCTTACTTATAAAACTCATACAATCTTGCTTTAATACTGATCCTCCAAGTAATACTGATAGGTTGATACTCAATTTTCACAATTCATGCTGGATTCCTTCACAAATAGAGTTTTATTCAAAAGCTGCGCAAACTAAGCCCCCCTCCCACCCAAATTTTTATCTTTACCACCTTTGTTTCCTGCTGTGTTTAAATTTGTGGTTGCTAATATAATAAAAAAATAATTGCCCTCATATTTGGCAACTTTATTAGCCATTAATGAGTTATTAAAATGCTAATATCTGTAATTACATTAATGTATAAAGTGTAATTCTCAGATATGAATCTTCCATCCTGTTTGCATTTTTATATAAAAAATTGCAGATTTGGGAGCTAATTTATCGCATTCTTTAGCTAATAAATTGTCAAAATTAAACTCGATCGCAAACATCATCCTGAGGCCATTAATCTATTGCGGACACTCTTATAAATCGGTAGTGTACAGGCACACTGAAATCTGCACTGAAAGCACACAGGTGTAAATCTCCGCTATTGATACACAGATGAAAATATTTCTCATTATTCGAGTAGATTTGTTTTTTTCCTCGATATTCGAAAGTCTGAGCATTGTCGAAACTAATTTGTAATTAAAATACACAAGCAACAATGAAAATGGGGAAAATATTATTTCTAAACCGAAAGTATTTAAAAATATTCCTGTGGAGATCTTTTACTACCAGTGAGACAGCATCGGTGGCACATTTTACAAGTTAAAAAAAGTTTCAGTATTTTTTTATTTAATGCTTCTCCCATGAAGCAGCTTAAAAAATGCTGTAAGAGGCGGAATGGTGGAATGGAAAAACAATAACATGACATAAAGGGAAAAAAATCCTGCTCCTTAGCACTGAGGGGAAAAGAGGGAGGAACAATTGGAAGCGCATTAAAAAAAAAAAAATATCCGTAATCTTTTGCCTAAATAAATTTCGCTTTGTGTGCTGACATAATTAATCACTGTTCTCGTAATTACCAACATTTAAACTTTTTTTTCAAACGCTAATCATATTTTAATAACAAATAGACCCAGCGTAATAAAGAAAACAGGGAAGATAGTAAGAAAATAAGATTTGTATCCCTATACAGAAGTCGGGGAAAAAATGGCCCGGCTAATAATAAAACAAAAGCTTCCGTTCAAAAGCAAAGCTCGTGTTAGAAATATTAATCTGGTTCTGGCTAATTGATATTAGCGCTGACTGGAGTTATTGCCTTTAGGGCGTAGGCAAATTATAATTTACACCAGCATCTCTCAATTTCTTTGCCTTTCCTTCGCACTCTGTCAATAATAGGATGAGCTGGATGAGGTGGAAAAAACGCTAGAAAAAATTAAAAATCCCGAATAAGAACACTAAACGTAATTAGATGGGGGCTAGAGTGTGAACATTGGCGGAGCTCTCCTAAAAAGTTAAACTTGATGCAATAAAGGTGAAAGAAAATAAATCGGTAATGGATATCAATTGAACAAATAACGCGCTGAGAATTTTAAATATATTTTATTTGAGGCGAAATAATTTAATCAGTATTTTTTTGTATCTTTTCTCTCGTATATCAAATGGGGAGAATAAGTTTTTATGAATTTTTTTTTTTGTATCATAGAAATAAGAAACGGTTTTAGGGATGTTAACATACAATTAAAGAGAGGGGTTTATTTATTTATTTTTTCCTTGTTTAGTCGTCGGCAGTTTAGATCAAAATTACTTTTCATATGAAGCGTTCTTTTATTGATGCTATAGAATTACTAAATGCATGGTTCGAATTACGTGTGGCTGTTCATTGAATTATATATGGTTTTGTCATTGAATTATATATGGTCTTTGTGTACCTTTACTTTTTTATGCATATATCTTATTTATGAATTATTTTTATCAAACAAATGAAATGCAACTTGCTTTAGAAAAGTAAGAAGTTAATCCCCAGTGCACCCTTAATTTTGAATCAAATTCTTGAATTTTCCTGAAATCTTACGACTTTAGTTACCCTGAATTTTTTTTAAATGGAGCAAATAAATAAATTGAAAATTATATTCTGCCAGAGTATCTTGCTTTTGAAGTTGAGTGCAACTGTTGAGTTTAACAGTTACAATTCATGGATGCGTAAATGCAGTTTCAGAGCGCTCGTAGTTTGATGCTAAAGATAAATTATTCTCTTTTCTCCTCAGCCACTCTTTCTAAAAAGAAAGGGTTTTTGCACTAGTGGCGGCATCTGTTGGTTTCAAAAGTAAACGAACTGATATTCTGCTAGAAAAAGGCTTTCTGCATTTAAACAAAGTAAATTTAAATCATTATTTTTTAAAATATAAGGAACTTTAAAAGGCCATACGCGTAATACAGCACATTGCAAAAGTCTTTTAATTCATATGTTAACATCTTTAAATAAAAACTTGAAAAGAAGAAAAAAAATGAGTTGTTTCAATCCATTTGTTAGAATGCTCATAAAACATAAAAAATAATTTCGTTAATAAGCCGAATTGAAGCTTGCATTACTTTGAATAAGCCTTAAAGTTTTTAAGTGCAGTGTAATTAAAAATTTATGAATTTTTAATCATGTTTAATTGCAATTTGGGGTTAATTAAAACTGTTTTTAATGATTTTTGAAAGGGAAATATTTTTGATGTATTAAATTTCTGTGAAAACTGATGTTTGTGTAAAAACATGTATATTTAACTTCCTGTATATGATCATTTGTGTGTGTTTGTACTCCTGTGTTTATTATTCTGTCTTTCCCTTTCTCTCTCTTCCTGACGTGCACCGGATTGGAGGAATTTCGTGGCCCAGTGCTTCAGGAGTGTGTCCCCCTCCAGGCATTACTGTGGCCACGCGAGGCCAATCCGGTTCACGCTCACTGCCACAGCCACACCATGCCCAGAGAGGCCACCTCCAAAGTGTTTAGCTGCAGCCTGCCTTGGCCGACAAAATTAGCGATTGAATTCTGTTCCCCCTACTCATTAAAGTTTGGAAATAAATCAAAAACCTCTTAAAGGAAAATTTTTTGTAAAAGGTTAAGGAAAAACTTTTTTAAATAAAAAATTTTATGGCCCAAAATTTGCCCATGTAGGCTTTTTAATAGGAAAATTTGTAATTTAAATATTTTTCTTAATGACCTTTCAAATGGTGTGGTAGGCCAGTTTCCAAAATCAATGGCAAACAATTTCTTAAACTTTTTAAAGAGGAAAAACACGAATCGTGACTGATTGAAATCCCTCTGTACTCTTTCCAGATCTTTGGGTCCAAGGCAGACTTGCAGCTACACACTCAAATCCACATGCGTGAGGCCAAACCGTACAAGTGCTCCCAATGCTCCAAGGCGTTCGCCAACTCCTCGTACCTGTCTCAGCATACGCGTATCCACCTGGGTATCAAGCCATATCGGTGCGAAATCTGCCAGAGGAAGTTCACGCAGCTGTCTCATCTTCAACAGCACATCCGGACGCACACGGGAGATAAGCCGTACAAGTGTCGGGCTCCTGGCTGCAACAAGGCCTTCTCTCAACTGTCCAATTTGCAGTCTCACTCTAGATGTCACCAGACAGACAAGCCATACAAGTGTAACAGCTGTTACAAATGTTTTGCTGATGAAGCGGGTCTTTTGGAGCACATCCCAAAGCACAAAGAGTCGAAGCACCTTAAAACACATATATGTCAGTTCTGTGGAAAATCATATACGCAGGAGACATATCTTGCCAAACACATGCAGAAGCATGCTGACCGTCTGGAGAAACGTCCGTTACCACCTCTCACCAACAATAATAACCTCAGTATACCTTCCAACCAATCACTTCGCGGGCCAACTCCCGCTGACAATTATTGGACAAAAACGGCGACATCGGTAGCTTCCGATGCTCATCATGGAATGGGAGATCCTTCTTCGATGGGCTCGCCTATGTCACCTCCATCTCACCATCTGCATCCACATGTTTCTGAGACATGTCTACAGAATAGTATGAACGATCACCATGCGAGACTCCATATGGACCCTCGTCATCAACAGCAACAACAACAGCAGCAGCAACAACAACAGCAACAACAGCAGATGGTGGCCAATAGTGCCAATCATACAAACGGCAGGGACCATGACCTTGGTTCTCATCTAGGTCAAAATCAGTATGATACTTCATCTATGGCGCAAGGTCATCCTCCACCCACGAGCAAGAATACATCGGCATTTACTCCTATTCAGTCTGGGATGCTGCCGATCTCTTCAGGACCGCAGCTGTCCATGCCGTCAACACGTACCTCATATTTCCCTTATGAACCCATTAATTTTCCAAAGAGCACGAATCCAATGGGATCGATGGAAGTAAAACAGAGCCACAGCTCTTTCCCCAATCAGCTTATATCTCTCCACCAGATTCGGAACTATGCATCTATGCCCACCATGAGTGGGGGAGAACATCCGATCTCTATGAAGGATAAAAGCCAGCAACAGTAAGGGGTGTCTCGCTTATTACTTGAATGATGGGATACGATTTTAAAGACTGATATTCCGATTTCTTTTCTTAAGAAGAATGGCGTTTATTCTTTTCCCCTTCACTTTCAAATGATGTTGTGTTTGTGCAGTTGTTGTGTACCATCCAAGTAGTGATCCTTGAGCCCCTGCGCCGCTAGACTCCTTTAATGCTCAAAATGTCCTCCAAAGATTGGACTGTAGGAGACATACCTCATATTTAACTCCCGGTGAATTTTAGCGTTGTGTTTTAAGATAACCTTGCGTTTTAACGGAAAGAGTGAGGAAAGAATTTGCGAACTTGTCAAGAAAGTTATCAGTTGAACTTCTGTGTGATTTACTTTGTTATTCTGATCAACGAGTCACTAGCTCTGGGAAATATTTTATGTACTAATCGGTAATTTTGGAAATCGTCGTGATGCATACTTTGCCATACCAAGAAGTCTGAGCGTGAGACAAAGGAAAAAAACAGAAATAAAAGAAAACTGCTGGTTTTCTCATTTTTCGCCATACATATTTGTTAGAGGAGGAGACAAGACTTACGTTTGGGCTATGCACTGGCGCTCCTGTCTCTTTCCCTCACACTCTCCTTTACTTAATGGGAGTCGTTCAAAGAATGTAGTAAGATATCTTTACTTAGTAGGCCATCAAAACTAAAGGGTTTGTGATGCAGCACCTGTGATTCCGAGGGAAAGTCCATCTGACTCATATTGGTGCCTTGATTTATTGAGAGTGCTTGTCAGTTGCGCCACTGCCTAGTTTGCCTCTTTGCCTAACTTTGCACTGCACTGCGGTTTGATATATTGAATTTTAAGCACGAATTTGTCTTATGAAATCAAATATTAATTTGTTTGAAAAAATACTATTTGATTTTAAAGGACATTGTATTTTCATTTTAAATAATTTTAGTAATTCTGTCGTTCCGTATTTTTTCTAGTCTTGTCTCTGTCTCTTCTTAATGGTTAAATATGAGAAATGCTGGCTTTACCGTCTCTTGTAATAGTGAGATTTCTATAGGACATCGTTTTTGCCTCCTATCTTACCTCATCATATAGACATTGTAGTATTATCATTCAAGACTGATATTGTGGCGTTAAGTACGTATATTCCAGCACACAGAAATATTTTCTTGGCTCAAATCGTTTTAAACAAAGTGTGGTATACCGTATTCATGCAACTTCAATGTTGAAATAATCGTAATAGTAAAATGCATAATAATAACGCAGCAATCTACACGTAAGTTGACCCAGCCTTCTTCTCAAGAAATCTACAAGCAGCCATTAATTGTTTGATTTTGTTTGCTTCTGTTTCACTGAATACCCTTCCCCAACGTATGAAAAACATAAGCGAAAATCATATATTTCTAATACTTTATTTGCAAAAATGCAGTAATAGATTCGAACTAAAAATTTTTCTTGGGATTTTTGTTTCATTTTTAATATATATACATACATAATAGAAACAGAAGGAAAATTTAGTGCTGCAGATTTCCTGTGTCTGAGGCTTGGTTTCTATCGGCCACAGTCGATCTTATCTCAGAGGTGCTGTTTCCATCAATATCATCAGGGATTTTTTCAAGCAAAAAGTGGAAAAAAGAAAATCAAATTTTAGAAGATTTCATGCATAATTATATATTATATATTCATTGATGTCCAGCCACAGCCCGCTGCATCTTGTGATCCAATATACCGTTTGCTCAGATCGGACCCATGCTAAAAACTAAAAAAATATGAACTCGTTGTTTGTGTGCCACTGTGGCAGTTTGGAAGAATTTTCTGAATACCTCAAATTTGTATGTTTTTATTCGAAGCAAAATGCTGTTCATTTTGTTCCGTTCCACTATTTGTATATTATTGTAGTGTATTATTGAACCAGAGTGAAAATTTTCATCGTAGTTTATTTCTATATGTGGTGAGAATATTGTTAATTGTTTAATATGAAACTGTTAAACGTATCGTGTTTCTATTAAGGTTTTCAATACCTCGAGAGAACCTGTTGGTTTTACCCGTTCTTTTTAATGATATGTTTCATCATTGTTTAACAGAGCATTATTTGTGGCACTCGACATTTACTGTTAGGGAAATTATGGCCAGTACTGGGAGAGCTCAAAATTTTTGAAGATTAATTGCATAGAGAAGTGGTCTTTGATGCAAAAGAATAGCATAGATATGTTACAGATAAGACGAACAAAGCTTTTAACTTCCATGATGAAAAATGGATATATATGTATATATAAATATCTATAAATACATATATATATATAAATATATAAATATATAGCGTGAGTGGTTAAATACTTTTTCCGACTATTTATAATATAACATTAAATGCGGCATAGTGAAGAAATGAACCTCCCAATGCCTCTATGTATGTATTTTTTGTGATTGTATCCATAAGAGCTGTAATATTGATTGTACTGTGTTCTGTGTTTTCAGGTATAACCATTTGGACAATATTTAGTTAACACGTTACAGCCGTGACTTCACGGTTAAAATACCCATTTAAATGAGTTATATTTTTGGAACGAAAGTGAAAAAAAATCTATCGGCCTGATTAATACTGTGATTCCAGGTTTGTGAAACAAATATATCCATGCATGGCATTTTTAAATAATATATCGTACTCCCAGATAACATTGATATATGCTGTTTTATCTTTGACAACGCTTGAGTGTTTTTGATATTTAAACTTATCTCTTTTACTTCTGTTTGTCGATATAAATTTTTTAATGACAGAAACTTTACTGATTTTAGTATTTTTCTATTTCCTTTAGAAGAATTAGTTTTTGCAAAAATATTGATTTTTATTTTAAATTGGTGTTTATGTCATAATTTCCCCATGCATTCCTGAAAAAAAATAGGCAGAAGTATTATCTTCTTTTAAACTCACTCATGTTCATTGAGTCGTCGTTCAGAAGTATTCAGTGTCGTTGTTCTTCAGTAATGAGTAGAAAGTAGGCATACACCCCATATTCTTTCTTAACTCTGAATCATATCCATCAAAGACTATTTTAAATAAAACGTTTGTGTTTCATCTTCCTCAGGAAAGTTCATTTCATTCAATTTTTTGTTTTTCGAATTATCATCAACGTACAATGATTCAGGTATTCAACATTAAACAAGTACCCAGTGCCTTGCTTTTAAGGATTTCTTTGTTTCAGTATTTTGTTTCTTCCCGACTGCTTGCCGGATATTTGTTCACATTCTTGTCTTTTGAATCATTAGAATTTCAATAGAAGTTTGCATTTCATCAGGAAAACAGCTTTGATTTGCAGTTCTAATTTATAATAAAAATATATATCATTCACATATGTAATATATTTATACAAATAGGTAAAATATTTTACAAATGCTTAATCTTGCATTATTACCTTCAAGTAAATGTTTAAAGCTTATTCCTTAAACTAGATGTTGTTTTGTATGCATATTACATTTTCAAATTTTTTATAGTGTTTTTCACGAACAAGGACTAAAAATAATTCTTTTACAAAGAATTTTTGTCGCTGTTCAATTTTGTAGTTGTTTTGGAATTACATACCTTTTTTATTCATTGTTAATTTTGTGTCTGTTAAGACATATATATGGACTACAATAATTTTGCTTTGTAATCCATATATTGAATGTGATTTCACGTTAATTAACAAGGAAAAGGTTTCATTTTTTAGAAGTTTAGTCATTCTGAGTGATTGATTATCAATGAGTAATTAAAATTTACATTTGTTACATTCAGGAATAATGTGATAGCTGAAAAGTTTAAATTCACGGTGTCTTTGATATTCGTGAAATAAGTTCAATAGTTGATATTCATTCTAAGCTAAGTTGACTGAATTGTGCTGCTCAGGCTTGATCAGCCGTTCACATAATAAATTTTCTTCTGCAATATAATGCCAGTTTCAGGCTTTTAAATCTGATGTAAATCGCGCAAATTTTTACCGGCTCATACGTTGAAGCTTGTCAAACAAGCTTGAACTCTGCACTGCGTAGAGAACTGCATCACGAGTTCTTTATGCATTACTTACAAGTACCCTGATAAGCGTACTTGTATCAACAGTGTCAGACACTGTCTAAACAGAATAGTATGAAGGATAAAGTTTGGGCATCTGATGCCAATTTCTTCCGACTGGTAAGGAAAGAAGTGATGTGTATATAGATTTTCTACGTAGAAGTGGGCTTTCATCTGGAGTGAACATTTCATAAGGAAATGGATTAATGGTTTCCTCTTGAGCATTAAATAAAAAAACAAAATTTTACTCCATGATCTGTGTACTATGAAATGAAGTTTTGTGCTCAGGTGATACATTTCTTCTCCTGACAAACTGATATTTATTTTAATAAAGCATATTCATTATTATTATTATTGACAACTGACGCTTTAAAAAATTCTACTTAAAAAAATCTAAAATACTAGAAACTTCTAAATTGTTGTTAAAGATTTTTATTCGGAAATCTAACGCATTTTCAGCAACAATGTAACTCTGAATTTCAAAATCATTCAAAACATAGAAGGTATATTTTCTTTTTATATTATAAAGGAACGACGTAGTGTTTGTTTTATTCCGTTGTATACTTCACAATTGTTTGCATTTTAACAGACTAAGAGAAGGAGAAATGAAAAAAAAAGCTATCCAAAATTAGAGCATATAATCAACTGCTTATCAACCTTTAAAGTGTTTCCTCTCAACTAACAACACGATTTAAAAAGTTTTTTACAAGAGCCAAAATTCGATATTGTGTTTAAGCATTTTAGAACTATTCATTGGGTGATTAGCTACTTTTATCGTCTCTTAACTAGATGAAAATTCCATCGAGTAATTTTCACCTTGAATTTAAGCTTTAGTCTTAACAATATTTTAAATAAGGTGGTAAGGAAAATTAGCAAAAAGAGGAGGGAATCACAGACGGAAGAGCTGCCACTTTTCTTAATTTTAACATTTTTGTTGCTTCCTAAACACTCAGATATCATCTATCAGAAGCTCTGTCTTGTCCTTTGTAATAACAGGTCACAGCGTAAAAAGAGCTTACACCAGAGAGCTTCAAAATTACAGGGTAGACCTTGTTGTGGGCAGATAAATGTGTAGCACTGCCAGTTCTTCAACAGGCACAAAAGCCTTGACATCGTATTTTAACACTGGCTCCCTCGGCAATGTGCGCATTAATTTCTACAAAATCTCGATGGAGTGGTTGGTTTTTTCCCTCCTCCTTCCTGCAGAAGCCTTGACTGTTTAATGCGGCGATGAAAATGAGCGCTGTTGGACACCGTTAAAGCATGTCGTGGGTTATTTTATCTATGCAAATTCGAAGATAATATTGTTCTTTACTCCTTTCTTTCTTTTATTTATTTTTTTTTTTTTTGATGGGGAGGGGTTAATGTTCGATTCGGCTTTCAGCCCAGACCGGTCGAACAGTTCGTAACCACTGTTTTTAAAAACAAACATGAGCAAAGTGTTGAAGAAGTTTGGAGCATAGGGGAGGGCTTGTGAAACGATAAATGTTTACGGAAAAATATATTTGCTAAACATGTTAGCCACCTGCACGTTCGTAATTACTGTGCGTGTCGTAGAGTAACCTTAGCCTGTTATAATGATATAGGATATTAAATGATCTTAAGGAACGTGTGCCGTCAGGTAGAATCATTAGCATTACGTTTCTAAAAGATATCTCCCCCGAGATAAAGGCTATCGTTTAAAATTACACTTCTAGGGGCCGCTTCCAAACTTACACTTTTCACGCTTATAATTACACATCAGTTTTAGAAGCCCTTACTTACCTAAATTTCTTTTAATAACTTCATAGAAAGAGCAATTTAATCTCGGAATTAATATTACAAAAAAAGATGAGCTGTACGGTCTAGTCGGCAATAGGTGGTAATAGGGCTCTGATATCATTATGTTTGACAGCCGCTTAATATTGCCTAAAAACATAAGCAGGGGCAACCATTGGCTCTTTTAGAATATGTTTAGTGTTTCATGCACGTGGGGTAAAAGAAGTTGCCTGGGTTGTGATTCGAGAATGCACTTCTCTTGAGCTTTTCTTGATACTTGATCTTTATTTCTTAAACAATAAGAAACGCGATACTTAAAAGCATCGCTTCAAAATAAACAAGTCTATACAGGGATTTCATTGTGATGCAAATTTTCTGCTTCAGACTTTCAGGCTCATTATCTAAGACAAAAGTAGATTTTCTCTCGCCTTGTTTCTGTGGCTTGCTTCTAATTTCGTGTTAGTTAACGAATGGACTAAATTGATGCGCTTCATAAAAGAGCTCTTATATTTTGAACAAATCGAGATGTACTTGGGGAAGAGGTCCTCCTTTTGTCTTGAGGCTTTCGAATGCAAATCTTTTGATTAATCTTGTCTGCACTACAGATCACCTCGCTGAGACAACAATTAAATAATTAAGTGTGTGTAAGACAGGGTTACATTGTTGCTGTCTTTTGGGAAATGATTTCTTTTAACGAGTTTTTCAGCTTCAGTCGCGAGAGATTCTCGGAAAAGTCACAGCGTGAAAGAAGGAAATTAGTTTGTTGCTAATTTTTCTCATTACGTATACTCTTTGTTTCAGGCGGGAATAAAACGTTAAATTAGTGAATAATTTTAGGACCCCAGTTTAGCTCATCTACACTAAGTCTCACAGCATAAGCCGAACTCAGTTTTACTCACCAATCCCATTTTATCAAAAGAGAAATTATTACCTTTCCTTTTTACAAATTAGAGATATATTTTACATATCTTAAAGGAACAACATAGAAATATAGTTAGAGTAGTGAAAGTGGAAAAAGTTTCAGTTTATCATTCTTAATCACTTTTTAACGCTGTGGCATTTCACACGTATTCGGTAATCGATTCAATTTTATAGATGCAGAAGACCATAATTCTTTGAGCTCAGTCTTCAGCAAACGTTAAAATATTTTGCTTTGCAGTTGTTGTCTTCAGATAATTGCTCAATAATCGGTTGAAGAAATTTGTTTGGAAAAAATTTCTTTGAGCAGTCGTTCACGTCAGAAGAACTCTCCTTTTAAGTAAGTTAAAAAAAATAGAAAAGCATCTCGTTTACTCCTCTCTGAATCTCTGGTATCTCAAATTCTCCAGATAACTGACATTTCAAAGCTTTGAGGAATAAGGCACATCAAACGCAAATAAAAAGACTGAGCGTCTTTTTTTTTTCTGCTTAGATAGTTGTTCTGTTAACGAGTGGCGAGTATTAAATTCTTAACCGAACGTTTCACCGACATCTGGACCTCTTAAAAAAGCATCAAAGTAATCTCGAATTTGCGTGGAACGTCACGCTAAAGTAGCCCCCATCCGAACGACAATTATGGCTTGTAGTAACATTAGGCCTCATCTCGGATTCCCGTTACCATAGCTACCAGGAGAGGTATGTGACGTTGAGCGCTTTGTTAGGGCGGCAGGATGTCAGGGCCTCATCGCCAGTGAATGGCCACTTAAATGTGAAAAGCCAAAAGGAAACCTTTAATCTTATAAACTTGTTGAAGAGAGTGCTGGGAGGAAATCATACGAAAGGGGCATTCCGTTTTATAAGCCACAGCAAATCTGCATGTGTTGTGTGTATCTAACTTTTAGCGGAAAATCTATTTTTGTAATTCCACTCTTGGTTTCTATGATTATGTTGTAAATGGTGATAATGCTTCATGTAGAACTGGAAGTGAGCCATAGTTCAGGTTGTGGCTTATAGAACGCTTTTGCATGTCTGAAATCAAAGATTTTTCTGAATGCAGTTTGTTCGGAGAGGTAGCGTTCACGTGATTGTTTGATTCCCGTGATTCCCATTCCTTAAGTAAATGGAAATATAGTTAATGTCTCCCGTACATGGTTGTTCATGATTCAGTGCATAAATATTTTTTCCACCATTTACTATCATTTCCTCGTGTTAGTCCTATTTAGAATATCTTTCCTGTCCGTTTTGATTATCCTGAATTTTACACTTTTCGTACATTATTAATGATCAGCTGCAAGAAAGCAGTTGGTTTCATGAAATGGGTGATTAACTTTGTTTCAGCTGACTTTGCGAAAAAAATTTAAACTTATATTAAATTTATCTTGCGTTTTAAGGAAATTGAATTTTTCTTCAGAGTTTAATCATTTAACCATGAATTGGAATTCGATTTTTTAGAAACTATTTTCCTAACACTTTGGAAAAAAATGGCTTTGTAAAGTTAAAATGCTAATGAAAAGTGAAAGATTCAGGATAATATCGTGTTTTCATTTTTCATTTTCGTCTTGTATTCTGTGTGAAAATAGATGGATGCTACTTTCAAGGTAAAAATTAAAGCAATAGTAATTATCATATTTTCATTACAACTTACGAAAACATCTGATAAGTGTAGAAATATTAATTTTATCTTTCGAGGTACTTTAGCATAATTTTTTTCCTGTTTTGGGGGAAAATATATATTATTTGTTCCTTCTAATTTTACCCGTTACGTTGATTTATTTGAGTATAGTTTCTAATGTCTATAACATTTGAATGTCTACAAAAGTGCATCCATTCTTAAGAATAATTTTATTATAAAATATAAACAAATAGTTCAAAATTTTGATGGCATGTTCTTAAATTTTAAAATTTTAATCTTTTATTTAAAATTATGCTGCCTATTCAAACTTTCAGATAAAAGTTATACAGATTAAAAGTATTTATTTCATTCTAAATAAATATTTTCACTTGTTAACTTAGTTTCTAAATTTTAAAATGAACAGTTTTTTGTCATTTTTTCCCTTAATTTATAAATTAAATATTTTTCATTTTACATAGTAATGTAGACATTGGTATCTAGTTGACTTAGTCTAATCTAAAATTTCTACACTTTTTAGATGAGTACTCTTTTGTACAGAACATTTTCCTTTCATTAAATTAAATAAAAAGGAAAAGAAAGAAATAAAAATCTCCAGAGATTGGATAAAATTACTTGAAACTCAGAATTTCACTTTATTGATTGCTATTGAGAGATAGTATGGCCCCTAGAAAGCAGCAACAATTCTGTCTACTTTTCTCCTTTTTTTAATTATTATAATCATTACTTTATGTCATTGTGAACATTATTGTACTGTGTTGTAGCCCTACCATTTATCCATTTGATCTTTAATGTTTGTCATTTCATAAATAAATCCTGTACATAATGTTGTTTATTAGCTTCAAACCAAACCACAGTTTTAATTTGCTCAATCGTATATTTTTTCTTTTGTGAGATACGAATAGTCTTTGTAAACTTTTTGAGAACCGTATGTTTGGTTGTTTACCTGATAATCACTTTTTATTCGTTCATTATTCTTATGTGGTATATAAATGACAGTGCAATTTATCTGCATATATATATATATATCGCATATGCAGATAAACTGCTCGATACATCCCAGAATTCAGTGTATTTTAACGTTTCTTATGAGATTTTGCTAATCGATTTCACCTCGCCCAAAATCAGTTTGGTGATGAGTAAATAAACATTTTGTGTATATGTTTAAACTATTTTAACGTTATTTTCTTTTATTTGTGTTCTATGTTAGATATGATGTTTTAAAACCATCGTACAAAGAACATGGCAGGAATATAATGACATGTTAAAAGTCCAGTTTGTTAAAACACGTTTGATCATCAGCTTTAAGTACTTTTCTGTCATAGATATTTGCACTAGCAATAATGTTGATATTTTATATTAGTGTTTGTGAGTTTCATTATTGGAGTTTTTGGAATAAAAATAATTGGTATGCTGATCAGAAAGAAAACATGTTTTGAGGACACTGTGATAACCAGCTTATTAGTATAGCTTATCATTTCGTCGTCAATATAAAATGCTTTTATTCATCCATATGTCAACGGCGAACCAAAACCATGTGAAATGTGTTTTGTAATTGTATCATAAATTTTTTGGTGACGTGTATATGTTAGTATGTTGTTGCTGTATTTGCGCCTTCTGTGTCACACAGTGCAGGAGTATGACTACTCACGAATACTTAGCAATGATCCTTCTGTGTTTCTGCATAATTTTCAGTTCCCTTGGCATTTATAAAGCGCAACCATTAAGGTTATTTTTCTGGTCGTAATGATAAAGAAAAATACTTTCCGAAATAAATTTTATCTCAGGATAGTTTATCATATAAATCCAGATCATGTGCTAGATCTTGAAAATATGATTTGCCATTGTCCCACCGATACCAATTTCAGGGAAATTTCAATATGCGAACAGTCATGTGACTAACTTAGTAGCTGGCATTTGCCCTGTTAAACATAAAATTTATATTATATTTAAATTCCATTCAGACATTATTATTTCACTTTCATCTAAAATAAACAATTTGACTCGTTAGCAATTCATCATTTGGAAAATCCGTTATTTAAAAATATTATGTTATCTTTGAAAACATATTGGCAGTTGTTAATTTGAGTATTGTTGTCTATATGAGTTGTTTTGCATTTCTCTTCCTGTTAGAAATAGAAGAGAATATGTGGAGTAATTTTAATTATTGTAGAGCTGATTATTTATGAACAGTTTTGTTCTCATATACATAGCCATAAATTTAACAATGACTGTTATCATAGAGGCGTCTACATATTCTTTTCTCGTTAGTTAATTATTTGGGTAATAAAATTTTTACGTAGATATTAACAGTTCTGTTGTTAATGTTATAGAATAAGGTTATAGATATGTGATTCAAAGTTTTAATGTTTTCACTAGCAGTTCCAGTATTCGGGTTTTGTTAAAAAAATTATATTTATTTGAATTTAATGGGGAGTGCAATCCATTTGAAGTTCGTGATCTTCTATTTTAATGTTATATTCGAAAAATGGTATAAGTAGCTTGTTAATTCAGATTGCTTTAGATTGATCTATAAGCAAGCTTAGTAAAAGTTTTCGAGAAATGCTTGTACATATGCTTTGTAATCTCTTTGCTGTAGAAAGTTAGCCTCATGCCTAATAAAAAGTTACAGGATCAGAATTCCTAATGTAGCTTATTGCTGACAAGTTAATCCCAATGCTTTGTGTATCTGTTATTAATTTCAATACAAGGTTGTTTTTATGGAGCTGTTAATTTTGTTCGTAAATAGTGAAAGATTGAGAAAGATTAAGGCTGTCCTGATAAAAAAGTTATAAACTACTTACCTCATTTTTGCCTTCTGGATACAAAATGCATTTCTTCAGTGAAAAGGAAAGTGCTCAATGACGAGAACCGCATAGCATATCACTTACCTCTTCCATGTGATGATTAAGTGAAACTTTTCAGGGATACCTTTATTGCTCAATATGTGGTAGTATTTTCTAAAAAAAAATAAAAAAATAAAATGGCTTAATGGGATTTTAAAAGTAAATTTTGCCGTTCAGATTCTTAATTCGTAACTTTGCTGTGCGGGGAGAGCTTGGTACTCCCATTATATCTTGTCTCGCACGTGAGGAGTCGGTCGTTTCGGGAAATTTTTCAAATACCTCAGCAGGCACTTTCTCGAATTACCTCATTTCTGCGATCGTCTCGCACCAATCTCATTACCTCCTCATGGACAGTGTAATCTTTCGAGATCCCTGAGTGTAAAAGCTAAGTATTCGTGAGAGTCCTTTTGTGAAATATTTTAGTTTCGCCTGCGCGACCTGAGCTGTGTGTTAGTATATTCATTCATTCATCGGCGATGCGCAGCGATGGGCTATCAGAGATAGCCCTCTAAAACAATGAGCTATAGAATTAACCCAATCTGTTTTGCTCAGTGATGGTCGTGATCTAACTGTTCTTGAATAATTAAAACTTATTGACATGTAACAAAAAAATGACGTTTCAATGCATTCGACCATAGGTAGTTCACCAATTTAATTTTGTAAACGTGTACATAGATATTCTTTATTGTAGTGTGAATTGTAGTCTCTTCATCGCCATGTGTAATAACCGAAGAACCTCGAGGTTTGAAATCTTATGATGAAGGGCATCATGAGAGAGTTGGAAAAGTTGTAGGTTTACTGCCATTAACCATTGATACGTAGGAAGCCCACGTCTTATTATAAAGCACTTGTATGTATTTGTAAATAGAATGAAATATTCTTTTCTCGAGTTGCAACTTACCAATGATCTTTTTGTTTGAATTGTCGCGTTATAATATTTCCCCCTCCCCTCAACATCTCCTTCTTGTTTAAAATAAAGCATGCGCTTCAGCCTATTTTCGTAGCACTCATGCCAAATGAATATCGGAACACGAGCTTCAGAAACAATTTGCCACATGCAATAATAAATAACTTAGGAAAACATTTTATGGATAGTAAATCCCTGGGAAAGTGGGGCGTTAAGAGATTACATTTAAAGTGAAGCTGTTTGATTGCTTCATTCCGGTGCATGTACGTACTTTTCTATCTGTTAGAATGGAAAAATGTAAGGAAGTTTGCAGTCCAACCCCTTGCTGTTGAAGAGAGCATGGTTTCGGGCCGACAGAGCCATGCACAAACCTCTTTGTGATAGCTTTGTATTGTGGTTTATTTATCAGTTAAAAATTTGAAATTTTTCTAGCAGTCTAACAGGTATTTGCATAAGCATCAACGAAATCATCAATAGTGATGACATTCAGGGAAAATAAGAGAGAAGTTTGTACCTGGTAGAGCTAAAATAAACAGATATAAACAAATAATAAAATTTGTTTTTCATCGCCTCTTTCGACAGCGCACATAACATTAACGTATGTCACTCATCATCATAAGAATCGACAATGCAGTTCATTTGAGAAACCAGATCCTAGACGGAATCGTACGTTAAAAAATATTTTCATTTTTTTGTTTACTTCTTCCTTTATTTTTCTAGGGTATCCTTAACTTTTATCATATATTGCATAATGTTTTCACAGCTGCACATTGTCTTTGTTTATTTGTATTATTGTTAATGAATTTTATAGTACAGTTGACTTTCCCTTGAATTTAATTACCATTATTCTAAGTTAATATTTTTAATGATTTGTAAAAAATGTGAATTTTATGTAAACATATACATTGTATCTTAATGAAAATTGTTCATTCAGTTCAGTGTGTGCTTTCATATGTAGCTCATATATATATGTTAAATAACTTTCGCTTGTCCAATTTCCAAAAAACCCCGATTCTTCTTGATCTTGTTTCCATTTGTCTTTGATCGGCCGCGATGGATAATTTCTTTTTTGAAATAATTGGTCTGTTGCAACTATTCCCCATCTGTCGGGTGTTTTCGCGGTGCCTCATCCATTTTGTCACCCCGGAAGCAAAAGAAAAAAAAATTTCAACCACCAGGTGATTGTATAAAATATAAATGACGAAAGATTGTTGTTATTACGCGCACCATGTGTATGTAGTTCATGGTTAAGGTACAACTTGTAGTCACTCAAGTGCCCCATCCTTGTACAACATTGTCATGTGCTATTTCAATAAATATCACTTTAAGCCTTTATTTTGAGACTCATGCTTTTATTGTTTTTATGGTTATGCCTAATGATACATTATCTCACCTACACACTCACCTTCATAGCTTTCACAACAAAGAACAGAATTCTCATTTGCCAATCAGAAACAAACAAGGTAAGTTTAATTCTCATAGTAATTATTTCATTATCATTTTCTTCATTAAACAATCTGCTAACTGAAATGTTAATCAAAATTTTGAAGTGAATATATTTAAATTTAAAAATGCTTCTAAAAACTAATGTCTGTTTTGTTTCTTTAAAAATTAAAAGCTTCTGAACTGAGTAAAGCTATGATTTCTCATAATAGTATTTAAATTTTTTTTGGCTTATTAATAAACTCACCGGACAAAAAATTTGTCACCCGTACTGAAATCTCGTTAATATCGTGTGACCGCTCCTCTGCCGCTGATAACCGCCTGAATTCGGTTAGGTAGGGAGTTTACAAGGTTCTACATGCATGCCAGGTCCAGCTTATACCAGTTGCTGATGATATAATGACGTAAACTGATAACATTTTGGAGTTGCTGATTGTGTTGCTTCACCCGCTGTTCCAAAAATTCCCATAAACTTTCAATAGGTTTAATATCAAGAAATTTAGCTGGAAAGTCCACGTTCGAGAGAATTTGTGAGTGTACATTCATCATGCCAATCACGTAGGCTTGCTGTCATCATGAAGCAGAATGTCGACAGCATACTGTACATAAAGATATTGACTGAAGGGTAATATGTGATCTTTGAGAATGTTTAAATAAATATGCTGATTCATGCGAGCGCTGACCTCCATAAGTGCATCCACATCATATTACGAAACACACTCCCAGAACGTCACAGATTCACAGGCAGCCTGAACACATTTAGGCAGTCTTTTTACTCACTGCCGTGTATCATTTAAAAACAGACAAAAGTTCGTCGAGCCAGATCGCTTGCCTCCAGTTATCTACTGTCCAAGCTCGGTGGTATCTGATACACTGGACCTCTTGCAAGATACCCGACTCCAAATATTCACTGCATGCAGTTTCCATCGCAATGTCCACTTAAAAACATTTTGGGATGGACTTTCATTCACTGACTTAGCAATTCTTTGCTGGTTTGAAAGCCATTCGCGTCCACAACTCATGTAACTCGTCGACGGTCCTTGAGGCTTAGGATCTTCTTTCTGAACATAGTTCTGACATCGTGTTTCATGGTCACGAATATTAAGCCATTCCTTGTAGACGCGTCAGACGGTTTGCTTCGAAGTACCAACAAATCCGGTAACTTGACTTACTGTGTGGTTATAGTTATAGACAGAGTTCCCGTTTTTTTTACCACTCTGTTACATCATTGGTTTTCCATATCTCAATGAAAAATAACTACGTATAACAATGCCTCTTGACTAATTAACCCTACTTTGTAATCTCATAGAAGAATTTCCCGCACCGGTGATCACGTGACACGCCTGCTACGCCATTTGACGAATGCCCCTGCACCAGGGTAATTCGTTTTTTGCCTGATGAGTTTATACTGATGTAATGAAATTTTTAACGAATATTCGAAACGGAAAGATTTTATGAGCAAATAAACTTTGAAATATGTTTTTGATATTTTTGAAGATTAAACTGATAAATGATTATTTTAAGTATTTTAATTAAAACTAGCATATAAATTTATTAAATGATATAATAATAAATCAGTAATAAGCATGATAATTAATAATCAAAAAGTATGGATACTTTCAAAATAAAACCCGGCATTTTTAAATAATATATATGAGAGTTCTTATAGTAGAACTGGAAATATAATATATTATGAACAAGAATTTATAGTCATGAATAAGAATGAAATTGTAAAATGGTTTGAAGGATCTATTATATTTTTCAAGTTTTTTTTTAAGACTTCTAAAAATAATTTAACTATTAGTAGCATATACTAACGTGAGTAACAAATAGTATATACTTACATAGGTAACGTAAACGTAAGATATTCAAGTTAAAACACGATTAATTGCATTGTTAGCATGATCACATTGCTTTACAAGTACTTACCATATTAATTTATAATTCTCAGTAAAGTTAAACATATATATTAAGTACTGATAAAGTAACAAGTACTGCAGTATATTCACTTATAAGGAGGAAAATATTTTATCAGTATTTCATAATCAATTTTGTTACTGAATTTGTGTAGCTGTTATTTTGAAACATGTGTACATAATGATACATTTGTGTAATTACTTCCGATAAACACTGAATATAGTTTTTTTAAGTGGCAAGAAATAGTTGAATTGGGTTGATTTCATGGATAAATAATTGATATGAATAATATGAAACATAATAAGACACACTAAACGGAGTTAGAATGGGATAAATAAGGATGTGGCATTTTTTCGCATCACAAATACATTATGACCAATGTCGAATATAATTTTGACTTATAAATATATTTTAAATTGAAAATATATTTTATTTTCAAGCAGGTTAAGGTATTTATTTAAAAAGGCATTTCTAAATTTCTTCTTTTTAAGTGTAAAAAATACATATGGATATACTAGGTATTGTGATGTCGGCTAATAAATATTAAAATAAAATACTATATCAGTACCTCAGAACGAAAATACTGAGGTTATTTTTGTACACTTCTGCATTCTATGAAAAATTATTTACATTAGTGAGACTTTTATGTTGTGCAAGTCTAAAAAATAATCTGTTTGAAGTTATTAAATGCATGTATATGGAAGTATGTAATAATTAGAATGTGAAATGAATATAAATTTAATAATGTACGTTTTAACATTTGATCTATTCTTTAACTTATTTAAACTTTACTTTTATTTGAAGATAATTGCAAGAACATAAATTTTACTGCTAGCTAATTTAACAAATATTGAAATGTGAGAAAACTAAATAATTGCGGAATTCCTCTGTGTGGCTATCATTCAAGACAGTATAGCTAGATGTTAAAGTTTTCAATGCTTTCAGGCCTTTGATGTGTTGTATGTGGATTCAGTTGTCAAGAATTTATAGAATCTGGTATTCCTTGGTAACATAAACTCATGAGCTCTAGAAGGACTGTAGAGGAATTATCCTCGGGTCTTTACCAGTACGCAAACAAAGTCAGAAGAAGGGTGCAGATAGACCTTTTATTCGATCCACAAAGAATTGTCAGTCGACCCCATTTTGGTTTGCATAAGCCAACACTTCTGGTTTAACTTAAACAAGTAACGCTGAACTTAAAATGTAATTAGCTCAGCCTAAGCGCTCACAGAGTAAAATAATCGCGAAGGAAGGCTCTGGCTCATAGAAGCCAGATAGCTCGAAGCATCCAACTTCGCGGAATCAAATAGCTGTTAAATCACTATAACAACGTGGCTTCAAGCAGACAGAACACGCTCTCAAATAGGCTTTCGAAACCTTCGCTTAAATAGCATTTTCTAAATCTTCTGTTAACCACTAAAAGGACTTTATCAATTCTATTAGCCACTAAACGGACTTTATCAACTACTAAACTTGTAAACTGGATTTAGTGAGTTGTACTGAAGGAAATATTTAACCATTAAAGTAATCTTTTAAGAGAATCGGTTCACATTTTAAGCCAAGCAAATTGTTCTGCAAACAATAAATCAGCAATAGAACTATAAATAAATTTATAAAGATTTCTAATGAAAATGAGTAATTTAAGTTAAGGAACTACAGATGTAGAATAGTTTCTAATATAACTAGACGATCTAGGTTTAAGAATGTTTCATTTAAATTCTGAAGTACTGAGGACCATAGAATTTCAAAATGAATATTTCTGACTCACGCATCTATCCAAACTGATTGGGATGAATATTTAAAAAGTTGTTAGATAATGCAATCATTTTGACATGTATCATTTGACATCATTTACAACTGAAGAAGTAATATTTTTTTAATTGAATGAGACTCTACTATTAATATTATTATTCAGTCATTTATTGCTTTTTATGTATAACTTTGTATATGATGAAATGTATTAGACCAATACCTATTTCCTTGCAACACACTAAGAGTTGTCCTATTCTGATTATCGAATTGATTATAGCAGAGTTCGTAAGAATTGGTAACCATGTTTAAAATAAAATGAATCAAATTAGTGCTAGCGAAAGAGGTTTCGAAATAAGGAAAATTTCATGAGTATCATTTTCGACATAAAAAGCTAATTACCCTTGTCATTAGAAAATATATTATCAATAAACCTTTTTATAAGTGTGTTTTTATTGAATCATTTTAAATAGTCTCTTACTTAAAAAAAGGTTAAGAAATAAAAGATTTACTTCTCTATTGTAAATGCAAGTAACAAACTTCTCAAAACTTTAGAAAGAAAGAATTGAAATAATTTTATTTTATGTTAGTACATATGACTTTATTAAGCTAATTTTGCTGATATTTCTTTTATTGCATATTAGTTTCATAAAAAAGTAGCAGTTTTAATGCGAAACAAATTCAGCTCCACCATGATATCATTTTAACTCTTAACAGAAACATTTCTTATAATGTACATGAGAAATGACTGCCTACTAAAGGTTAGTATATTCAACTGACAAATCTCGACATGCCTGTCATACTTGTTAAATAAGTAGGAGCATGGCTTTATTCTTCTATTTGATAGCCATCTGCTATTTCCTGCTTTTCATATACCTGTGTATAAATGTGTTTGATTTTTAATGAAGGGCAGTTTCAGAGCGCTTAGAAAGAATTATACGTCTTTCAGAATTAATTTCCGTTTCAAACTTCACAATCTAATATTAATAGAAAAGGAATCAAGAAAAGTTAATATTCGCCTTCGAAATAATCCTAATATTTATTACGTTCTGCCTGTCGCTAAATAACTGTAATAGTTTTGAATTTGTTTTAAAACACCGAGTCCTGGTTTTAGCTGGAATTTGTAAGAGAGAAAAATGCCAACGTACCGAACCAAAAGTTTGTAAAATTATTTTCAGTCTGTTTTATTTTAATTGTCTTAAGCCCTGTTACCAAATAGATTTTTT